GCTGTTCGGTTTGTCAATGAGAGAAGAGAGCCAGATAATCTAGCTGCTGCACTCCTGTCAGATATTAGGGACTTGATGGCACAGTTTGAATCTTGCATGTTGCAACACGTCTTACGGGAAGGGAATGCTGCAGCTGATTTTCTTGCTTCCCTTGGACACACATCACCCCCAGGCTTAAGTATCTTAGACTCACCACCGACTGGTCTTCGACCTATCCTTTTAGGGGATCAGATGGGGGCTAGTTTCCTCAGACTCTAGTTTTGCTGTTTCTTAGCTCTCTCACTGATGTACCGAAAAACCAAGCCTAAAAAGCTCCATTTTGGCCAGAGATTCTTGATGTATTTCGATCAGATCTGGCAAACCCACAGGCCACAGCCCTCCAAGCGCATACCAACGCACATGAAGAAACCTCCAATCGTATAACACGAGCACAGTATCTCGAGAGAGAGGAAGGTATGGTCGGAGGCTGGGAGTAGCAGAAGCAATGATGATAATGGTGGTCTGAGATTCCGAGTAGAGATTCGGATATAATTACATGCACGGTTCAATTGTAAATATGTTAAGCAGTGAGGTGTACAATAGGAAGTTCAATCTTTTTCAGTAAAAGAGGCGGAATGGTTTTGAGAAGCACTCCGGAAAAGCAGCCATAGTGGTGCTTCTCGATTTTCACTTCAAAGAAGCTGCAGTCGGGTTCTAGGAAGTTGAAGTTAGGCTTCTGAAGGTGGGTGTTTGGGAGAGCTTGTTTTTCGAGGCTCAAAAAGCTCTTCTAACAAGTTGCACCAAACATGAACTTCATCTGAATTTTGTGATTCTTCCCTGTCGATCTGTATCTCCTCAGTTTGTTGGGAAGGCATCTCTAATGCCAAACACTCTTTGAGTTCTACAAGCACATGACTTAAGTCTGGCCCGTGGTTTGCGGTAGCCGATGCACATGACATTGCTAATTTTGCGACTCTCAAAGCAATGTTGATATTGAATTTTCCTTGCAACCTGGGATCAACAATTCGTTGGATATCCCCTGCCTCCATTATAGGCCTTAATTGATCAACTATGCTAGGACAAGGGTGGTCCTTTAGAGCAAAAGCAGGCCGACCGGTTAACATCTCTAGTAAAATTATCCCGAAGCTGTGCAGGTCGGTTTTCTTGTTTATTTCTCTCGAACGAAGACACCTATATGAAAAATATATAAGATGGACTATTTGCCAAAGTTATAAGGGATTAGCTTATACTTGTGTCATAAGTTCAATACTTACTCAGGGGCCATGTATCCAATTGTCCCACCACAAACATAATCAACTTCCTCAAATTCTTCATAAAAACATGCAGCTAATCCAAAATTGCTTATCTTGCCTCTCATGTTTTCAGTTAACAAGATATTAGGGGCTTTCAAATTTCTATGGACTATAAATAACTCGCAACACATCTGCACATACTCCAACCCTGCAATTCTAGGATAACATTAATTGACAGCTCGTGGGGGAAGTAAAGCAAAAGGAAATTGAAGAAAGTTTTGACTAAATATATTAGGACCATATGCGATATCAATAGCAATTTGAAGCCTCTCATTCCAACTCAAAATTCTTTCGCATTTCCCTGCAGTAAAAAAAAAAAAAAAGATAATAATTTTTAGTTTTAAGTAGTCAACAAAAGACATTAAATTGATTATAATATAGTGAATCCATACCTGATAAATGCTCTTCTAAATTTCCTTTAGACATGTATTCGTATATTAATGCCTTCTTACCATCTTCATCACAGTATCCCACTAGAGAAACCACATTTCTATGATAAAAGTGACTTAACAGTTTTACCTGCATTACAAAACGATGCTTTGTCAAAGTGATTTTTTTTTTTTTTAATCATGCTTAATGTTATGAAGTGTTGAGAAAATTACTGCATCGATCCAACCTCAGTTCGGAATTGGTTATAACCTTCCTTTGAGAATCGAGGCAAAACCTTAACAGCAACATGAGCGTCATCATGTAGAGTGCCAAGATAGACTTTCCCAAATCCTCCTTCTCCAATAACTTTTTTGAAATTTGAAGTTATTTTAGCAACCTCAGTGTAGGTAAAAATTCTTATATTCCTTAAACTCATTGGTCTTTCTCGTTCCTCCATTGATTTCATAATGGCCCCTAAAGCAATGAAAAGCATGTATCATGTAAAAAACAATGCCTTTGCTTGACTCTGAGATAAAACAAAGAGAAAAGAGAATACCTTTTCCTCTTATGTTTTTGTAAATTCTGACTAGGACATTGGTTCTGCCAGTCTCGTCCAACACTTCAGAATTCATCTCTGTATCCAAACACTCCTTAAGTTTTCTCAGCACATGACTAATGTCAGGCCTTTTTTTAATTGGCTTTACACATGACACTGCTATCCTAATTGCTTTTTGCACGGCATTGATGTTGAATTCACCATTTAGCCTTGGATCAATGATGTTTCGGATATTCCCTTTCTTAATTAAATGATCACTCCAGTTAATTATGTTAATCCATTCTTCTTTGTCTTGTGTTATGACTGCTGGCTTACCAGTGACCAACTCTAGTAGAATTATCCCAAAGCTGTACACATCACTTCTCTTGCTTATGCGTCCTATATTCCAAGATCTGCATGGAAAATATGAAAAATATTTATATCAATAAGATTTTGAACAAGAATAATTAATCCAAGTGAAGATTTTATTTAGGCCTTACTCAGGATCTATGTATCCAGGTGTGCCTGCAGGACGAGTTGATATGTAAGAGGCAGATTCTGTTGCAAAAGCTTTAGACAGGCCGAAATCAGCTATCTTGGCTTGCATGTATTCATTGAATAAGATGTTGTCAGGTTTCAAATCTCTATGAACTATTGGTGGCTTGCGACCATGTAGATATTCTAACCCTACAATTGTGGTATTACATTAGTTGATAGGTCCTTGGAAAATGGAAAGCCAAAGAAAATGCAAAATGTTTTCACTAAATAAATTAGTACCACAAGCAACATCCAAAGCCACTTGAAGTCTTTCAATCCATATCAAAGTTGTTTTGCTTTTCTCTGCATGAAAAATAATAAATTTTAGCATAAATAGTCAAGCTTAAGAACAGTTAAAATTGATCTTGATGAATCCAAACCTGATAAATGTTGTTTTAAATTTCCATTAGGCATGTAGTCGTATATCAAGGCCTCCTTACCATCTTCATCGCAATATCCCACTAAAGAAACCAAGTTTTTATGATGAACAACAGTCAATAGTTTTGCCTGCATTTTTAGATGATGCTTTGTCATAGTGAAATTTATTTGTTAAATGTATAATGCTATAGAGTGTTAACTACAAGGATCCAACCTCTGCTAGGAATGTCTTATGGCATTGCTCTAATGACGAAAGCAGAACCTTAACAGCAACATCAATTCCATCCTTCAGAGTGCCAAGGTAAACTTCTCCAAATCCTCCCTTCCCAATCATCGTTTTGAAATTTGAAGTTATTTCAACAATCTCAGAGGAAGTAAAGGCCGCAATCTTTGAATTTTTTGAGGGTTCCTCCATTGATTTCGTAATCCTTTAAAAGCAATTAAAAAAAAAAATCATGTTTCAGGCTATAACAATTCCTTTACTTGCTTACTCTAAAGAAAAAAAATATACCTGTGTTGTCTTCTCCTTCTATTTGGAATTCCTTTATCCATTTTCAACCTCTGCTCAAAAAGAGGAAGAAGAAGCTTGTGGGGGAGAAAAAAAATGGAGAAGAACAGGTTGTCAGTGATTCGACTGAACTTGAATTTTCTATGCTTTTTCGTTTTTGTGCACGAGAATTATATGGAGAGGATATGGTTATTGACACTCAGAAATTAGTTTTTTTTTTTTTTTTGACTTTTAACAGTTGCACATGATATTTTAAAATATCAGTTTTTAGATTTAAATATTAATTTATAGATTTATTTTAAATTATCATTTTTTAATATTTATAATAAAAGTGTCTTTAAGCTAATTTTTGCACATTAAGCGGATTGAAATGGACACTCTAATTTGACTTGATATATTTAAGAAATTTTAAATTTCTTAAGTGTTGGCCTAAATTTAAATTTTAAATTTTAAATTTAATTAATAAAACAATACTTGTTTAATTTAATATTAAATTAAATAATACATGAAGTCAACTCATTTGAAACGGTTGAAAGCAATAGATACCAACTAAAATAATGATTCATGTGAGGGTGGTGCAATTTCTTTGTGTGGCCATTAATTGCCCTCGTCGGCCAAAAAAGAAACTAACCATGCCCCTTCAGACGTAGAAATTGACGTGATTTGGATTTTTTTCGTGTTTGGAGGTTCGGGTTATGTCAACCAATAAGATGTTTTTTTGTTCTGTTTATCATCATTCAACACGGTTTTGGAGGGCCAAGCCAATATCATGGAGGAAAAATGTAAATAAATGGGGTATGACATTTTTTCTTTTCATTCCCCGCGGTTTCGAAGTTTCACATTGGGGGTCCCATATGAAGGAACATGTGCTCTCTCTTCTTTGGCTCTATTTTCTCATCTTCTCTCTTGTTTTCTTCTTTTCTTTAGCTACCCCTTTCTTTCCCTTTATAGCTAGGGGAGATAGCTAAAGATGAGAGTTGTCTCCTCTTTTGTGAGGAGTTTTCATTTTTCCCTCCTTAGTGGAGGTTTCTGCACTAGGAATGCAGAGCACTGTCAGCTACTCTGCAGCACCACCAACTACAATATAGGCTGGTGCAATTTTGTCGGAAATGGCTACCCAAGTCAGCATAAATGACTACTCAAGCCAACAAAAATGGCCATTCAAGTCCGCAAAAATGGTTAACTTCCAACTGTATTTTACTTTTTATTTATTACCTTAAATTAACTTTAGCATATAGATAGCCATGTCCCCTCAATTTTATGCATCAAGTTTGAGTTGTGAAATATTTTAAGTTCTCCTCCAATTGAGTGAGTTTTTAAAAGTGGATTATCTCAATTTATTTTTGTATTGCATGTCTTGTTAACTTAAGTAGTATTTTAGGGAATTGAATTCATTATAATGAGGTTCTAAATCTTGCCAAAATTGATGTTTTGGTATTGGTTCCTATGCTAATTTCTGTTAGAACTTAAATATTTTAATAAAAATAAAATAATATATTTTATAAATTAAATTTATTGTCCCATTAAAGATTCAGTCAAACAAACCATTGTAGATTAATTATTTTACTTAAGGGTACATTATTACATAATAATTGTCCAATTTATTCTTATCATTAACCTACAAATGGGAGTTATATGACAATGAGTCCTATAAATAGGACTGGGACATGTCTTTTTATTATTAAAAAAAAAGGTATTTCTCTACATTTTCTTATTTTTCTAACCTTACTTTATCTTCTAAATACATTTTTGAAAAAGAAGGGTGTTTTGAATTAGGTGATTTTATGGATAATGCAAATTCAAAAGGTATTATTATAAAACTATAGAATCATGTGGCGACATGTTATGTATATATTTGCTACACTGGTCAATTTACTCTCCGCAAAGATGTGAATTGCCTTAAAATAAGTATAAATAGGACATTACCATGAGTTTTATAAATAGGACATGTCTTTTTATTAAAAAAAAAAAGGATGTTCCTTCACAGCCTCCTATTTTTCTAACTTTACTTTATCTTCTAAATATTGTTAGGTAAAGGAAATATACCGAAATATACTACTGAAGAAAGGGAAATTTTGTACTTTCCGTCCACAATTCTTACGAATTTTAAAATTGGTGCTTGACCTTTGAAACCTATTACTTTAGTCCCAGGCTTTGTTTCCTTTTCATTAACCAAACACACCCTTTGTTAGGTTGGTTCATGCCCGGATCCTGAGTTCCTGACTCGTAATTTGGAGGAAAATGAGCAGAGGAAGGGGTAACTCTCGGGGCTCCATTATTTTTCTTTCCGAGCAACAGAACACACAGAGACAAATTTTTTTTTGAATTTTGTAAGGTACAGTTAAGAGTATTTCTTATTATTATAAATGTATATAAAAAAATATAAAAATTAATATTAATTTTAATGTTAAATAAATTTAATTAAATAATTAATAAATTAAATATTATTTATTATTATTTTAATATAAATTTATAATAAAAAAATACATTAACTACACTTTTAACTTATTTGCTTAATTCATTGGTTAAACGAACCTT